TTCACCGTTCACGTACTTTGTGTCTTTACATGATTTCTTCAGAAGATCAAGAAACTGAAAATTGCACACTGATATGTGTTTAGAATTTGGATGAACAAAAGACAGAAACTGGAAACCAAGCCGGTCACGATGTTCAAACTCTGTGTCACGGTCATTTTGGGAAGGTACACGATCACCCACATCGCGTACTTTTCTTGCAGGTTCAAACCTGTATGGGCCAATTTGTCCCTGGCACTCTAAAACAAAATCGTGACATCTCTCATTGTCATCATACTCTTCGATTTCATAACTCTCGTCAGACGATAACATAGATTCCGTGTCGCTTTCCGAGCACTGCATACGTATAGCGGCCATTGTGAGACGATGACAAGTTCCCCCCGTGACGTCACAAAGTACCCTTGTATGCTAATTAGGTACTCTAGTTGGAGCCTCGCTCTGAGTCGACCAAGAAACTGAACGTGGGCGTGTCCTTATCCAGAACATTATTATTGATCGTTTACTTAATTTATGTACATTTTTCACTTGATTTTTTTTCATAATGTTTTTATAAATAAATTTTGCACACAAAAAAGTCAATTGTCCCAATTCAGTTACACTTTAAGGTGGCTCCATACTGTTTCACGAAAGTCTTTGGATTTTTATATTTCACTAATAGATTGCTTAATGCTGTGCAAAACGATTCGAGGTACGAACCTAATTTTTAGATACTATTACTGTATGTGGATTTCGGAGTTCATACAAAAAGAAAACTATGACCTGTTCAATTAGAACAAATCTGCGCGTCCACTTCGGACCCATCAAGTTTGGTAAACTGTATTGAGCAACCTTAAAACTGAGGATTTTATTGGCAGATGAAGTAGAAACATTTTAAAATGACGTCAGCGAGCACCACATTCGTTAATTGGCTGGTAGGATTCAACAGATATTGAAATTCATAAATAGTTATACAAAACTGGCCATGCCTGTGGCAGAGGTACTTTTACGTAATGGGAATGGGGAGGAGATTGATTTGACTGAAGACACATTACGGCTAGGGGGAGGGTGGTTGAATCTTTACATATACACTGTGTTCAAAATACAACATACAAATTTTTTTCTGGAATGGTAGTTTAATATGTAATTTAATTAATGTAGTATGTCTGTTGGTTTTTCGCAGTTTACCATTGACACTTGTGTCATTTTCGTGGTCGACGATGCACATTTCATTGACAAAGACTCGTGGGATTTCATCACAGATCTTGCGGAGGATTCATCCGCAGTCTGCCTTCTTGCAATGAGACCATTTCCACCCAATAAAGCGTCATGTCCTTCCGCAGCAAAGGTACTGCAGAACCCCGCTACATTGCACATCAAGCTGCACGGTATACCACAAGAATACCTGGAAGAGTTGGCCTGCCAGATTCTTAACGTTATCGCGATTCCCAAGGAATTGCTGAAGTGAGTTTTAATGAAATATAATTGAATAACATAGTGCTAATTGAGACTCGATCTGGCTACATGTATTTGTCAAGCATAACTATTTTTCTGTAATTTGTTTCCAATATAGGATTTTACAAGAGCGTAGTCATGGCCTTGCTTCATGGTGTGAACAACTCATCAACGACATGTTTATCAGTGCCAAAATAAAAGTCATACAAGGCACAGAAATTAATCACGAAGAAAGTGAAACAAATACTCAGGAAAGGACCACCAAAGTGTGTGTCATTTCACCCAATGTCAATCTCAGTGAGATTCCAGTCCCTGACTCAATGACGGGTAGGTTTATAAGATGTTATGACCCAAGAAATTTGTTTCTGGTTTTTGTATCAATGATAGTGTTCATGAAATGGGCCATCTTTGGTCCTGCAAGTAAATAAGCAGAATACAATTTACAAGGTAAATACTATGTTAAATCAAAGTGAACATGTAAACACGTCTTTGTCCTATTTACGTACAGGTTGTCCTGGTTCTAGCCTGGCAAGGTCGCGTGAGCTCCCCCCCCCCCCCAACGCAGTGCTCCAAACCTGAGGTCTGATGCCGTTCAGCCAGCGAGGGCACCACTCACACCTACATGTCAGGCTTTCCTGGTTCTAAATTCATTAATTTTCCGTTCCAGGTATGTTACTTGCTAAAATAGATCGGCTGAAATCTGCTGATCAAATGGTTGTCAAATGCGCTGCAGTGCTAGGATTGACTTTCACTCCAAGTTTGTTAGAAGTCGTTGTTCCTAACACTAGCAGTAAGCGAATACGAATGGCACTGCATTCGCTGATGCAGTCTCGTGTATTTGAATGTGCCACGCCCAAGACTCACACTAACAGTGAGTTTAGCAGCATAAATTATCATGGTCATCACAATAAACTCTCATCTCGCGTTGAGTGTCACTGTCTTTGTAGCTTGGAGAGCACGGTGGATGATCATTCCAACATTGCCAACTGCAAGTTGTTACGTTTTAGGACCTCTATGATGCAAGAGGTTGCGTACACACTGTTTTTAAACGAGCAAAGACGGTCTCTGCATGAACAAGCAGCCTTGTTTCTGGAGTCGCGAGCACACAAGTGTAGATCATGTGGCGGTGGTGAGTGTGTACCACATTACCAGTCTCTCTCCCACGACATGACGGTGACTACTAAACCGGATGATCGGAGGAATTCCAAGTCAACATCGAAAGGCGGAACCTCATCTGGTTCAGGGTGGCGAGCAAAGTCTCGGTCTAACAAGAAAAATCGTGTTTCTAACAGGATATTCCAAGCAGACACACGTGGCGGACTTGGTATTCTCGATGAGCAAGGTAAGTCAATAGAAGCAAAGGAGCAAGACAAAATATGTTAAGTTTGAAGGAGGCATACTAACATCGAATGAAGGAAAAAGTCATAGCATTTGAAACAGTTTTTAAAAGATAGGAGAGTGAGTATGTATGTGCACATGTGTAATACAGCTGAGAAACGAGGATTACCAGTTGAAAAAGATGATGTTTTAAGAGAAAATGATATGGTATGTATGTGTTTGTTGCTGAGTAAGTATGACCGTGACATAGTTTTTGAACTCCCAAAAATACCCCCCCCCCCCAATATGAAAGTACGGTATAAAGCTATAGCTATATGTGTTTTTCAGTTCTTGCTTGGGCATCATGGTGTACACATTTTCAGAGGCTGATGATAGATGATGATGGTTCTATCATTCGTAGGCTGCGAGTTGGAAACACGAATGAGCAGTGTACTCGCGTTACTAATCATCACTGCACAAATCAGCTTTGCATACCACTTATTTGCATATTCGAATATGTTTGAACTACAAGTCCCTGTCGGTTAAAACAGTTATGTTTAAGTCACCCAGTTAATTTAATCATTTTAATAACACGTTTTACAACCTAAATCTGGAAGAAATGTTCGGTTATTTAATTTAAAAAATGCCTTATTTGCCATATAAAGCCAGAAATATTATTGAAATATTCACCAGAAGAATATAAACATGATGTTTGGGTATCCCTTTGAGTGAAATTAGTATTAGTTATTATTATACGTAAACAGAACGTTGTTTCTTCCCTGTTTTAGTGTATCACATGCGCCATTTCACTACAATAACATTACCTTGCAAAACGTAGTCCGCATTTACGTTTTTACAGAAGTCGGACATTAATAGATAGTTCGGTTGTCACGTACATTTTTTTCGACTTTTTGTTTAGATTCAGGTGTTACAACTCTGAAAAAAATGACCTTGCGTAGTGAGGTGATTGACCACAAAATTTAATTTAATTGGGGCACTATTGCGTAAAACGCAAGATTTATGGCAAAGAGATTTCGGTGTACAAAATCTTTAGTTTTTTCCAGTTTGTTGACCCAACGTCACGCAATATGCGAAAACGCGCAAACAAGAATTGATAATTCAGGAATCAAGAATTTTCATGGACATGCATCATAACATGTATAATGTATGTACCAATTTTGAACAAAAACTGATAAAGTATGGCAAATTACGATATTTAAAAAAAAATAGCTGCCAGTCGGCTATCTTGGAATCGAATCACTAAACCACTGCATGTGCATATGACCCACATACAGTTCTAGTCACATGCAAAGAATGTACGGATTCGGTCCAGAAGGTTCGGTAATATTACTCTGGACGGGCATATGGAGATCGTATTATAAGTCCATGTTTCGAATTTCGTTTGAGCAGGGACTATTAATAGATCACAATGTCAATCGGCGTTATTACTTTGTGAAATATAGGAAATCATATCTGTAGGATCCTCACTAAATCAACGAATCAAACATCACCTAGGGCACCTGCAACTTGATATAAAATCAATATGAAATAAAACTGGTCATTCATATTTCTACAGTCGCAATTGATTATTCACAGATACTATATACAGGTGTTGAAATTAACTGGCGATTGTTGAAATATTTGATCATTCCAAATGACGTAATCGTGGAAATACATATATTCGAACAGCCACTCTTATTAAAACTATAGACACTATAGCATTTCACAAACATAGTATTTTGATACCATTGATCATAATATTATTGTGATCCGAGCACTAAATACATCTACTATAAAAGTTAAATGAATGAAATCAAATAAATGCATCCTAAATATCACAAATAAAATGTTGTTGTTATAGTTTAGAAATGTCGCTTTTGAATTGAACAGTAAATGGTTTAAAATTCACGTTAAAAGATTCATATCGTTAAATTGCGATGATCTCGTCTACAAGAAGGGTATGTAACCAGATGTATTTAAATATTCAGATAACCTAGCGCCTCGTCGAACTAGCATCCTTGACAGTGTCAGAAAGTTTTTCCGGAGAAACAACCAAGTAGATGATGACGATGATCAATCAAAACTCGCGGCAGCAAGTGCAAGGCGAAACAGGAGAACGTCTCTCGAACTCAGGTGAGAAACGATGTTTATATATCGAAAAAAAATGACTACAATTATTTGAGGATTCTACATGTTTGTAACAAACTTGTATGTATAGTAGCATAGAATAAGATAAATGTATCAAACAAATGTTTGATTGTGAGTGATACACCTCCATGCTTTGTTTTTTAAAGTCTGAAACTATCTGAAGCTAGTAGACCTGCATCTGCAGCTAATATACATCAGACGTAAATGGCCGTCAAAATCTTGTTGTGAAGGAAAGAGTCACAAATAGTCATAGAGGCCCACTGTTCCAAATCCGTAGTTACATAGATCAGTAGAAGAGTAGACGCGATGACGAGAGAGAATGAATAACTACTAGTATTTAAGGGGCAATGAAAAAAAAAGACGCTCTTTCGCTCAAAATGATATCTAGGCGCCCATTTGCATCTACGGTCAATAGAGCTTTAATGACGTTTGTCTAAATTACAAGCCATGGAATTGTTTGGATTATGTTTACTGATGTTTGCCTGTATTATTGCCAGTGACAATCTGAAAAATAACATTGGAGGTGACGTAATTAGTGAAGAATTGATGTATCGCGAGATCGATTTACGTGACTGTGAATGCCCACAAGTGTTAGCCTCTGTTTATCCACAATTGGTGAGGCATTGGAAAGCTGCCAGCAACACTGCAAGGACCATTCACTTCTTGACGGAAGCTGGTGGCGCAGCCGTTGCCACTCATAACAATATGGCGGTAGGTCACAAAATACAGACACACACACACATACATACATGATTGTGTTTTTACACTCTCTGTTTCACCTTTGTCATTTATATAACAAAAATATGAAACAGATTATATGGTTTTTATTTTGTGAAAGGTGGTTCAATGTTTGTATGTGTGTCCAATGTCTGTTTTTCGGATTCGACATGCCTGACCAATTCATTCAAACTTGATATTGACATTACTTATGGTGGATAACTTTCTGATTCAAGTCATTTTGTTTTGTGATTTGATTCTAACTGATTGTGTTCAAATTTGGTACAAAATCAAGGTATAGTGTTGTGAAATTTAATTGACTGGCAGACATTTTTGCCCATAAAGCATGCCATCATCCATTTGTCAGGCATGGATTTTATTCCAGCTTTGTATGAACAGCAGATACAATTTGATTCTAAATTGCCAACTTGCGAGCGTGTTGGTTATATTTGTTATGTGTCTTTACCATTAATCCGAGACGCCTTTGCAGATCTTGCTCAAAGTTAATTGTCACAAATACAAATGTTAATTCTGTCTGACAGAGAATATGTTTTTGACAATGACTTGTAAATCAAGTATCAGAATTATTACAAACTTTATGAAGCATGTACATCGTGTAAAAAAGATGGTGGTAACTATATGTAAAAATACGCCACATGGCATTCCAAGCAGCGTGGAGGGATTCAAATTTATGCACTTAACCACTTTGCCATTCAAATTGATACTAAAAAATACACCTGAATAGTAGCTATGCGTAATGCCGTTTCATGATGGGTGATACTTATGTCAGTGATGAACGCCGTCAAATAGTTTATTGCCTTCACAGGGGCTATCCTATCTACTAGAAGTACATCACATGCTGAAATCTCTAGAAGCTGGTAAGAAACCGTTTCCAGACGACCCTGAAGAAAAACCAATTATAGAGGACGAAACAAAAGCCAGAGTCGAGAGACTTATAGGGCAGGTGATTATATATGAGTACAGTTTAATATTAGATTGTACATGAACGACAAATTGAATGATTGAGAAACAACTCGGACAATTACATAGGACGTGCAAAATTAAACTTGTGTTTCACGCAATTTGCCCCGCTCAGCTGTTTTCTTGAGTATAATTCCTTCTTCTGTTTGTTCTTCCAAGGCATTGTTTCACATGGGGAGGCTGGAAGAAGCAATGCCTCACCTTAAACGTGCTTTGAAGGTGTTGGGCAACAAACAACCAACGACTAGAATGGGTGTATATTTCCGACTAATGGTTGAAGGCTTCATTCAATGTTTGCACTTGAAAAACCCGCATAAATACGTTGGACGTGCATCGTAAGTCCTTTACATAGATATAATAGTTGTTCACTGTTTTCACTGAATTGCGATGAATACTAGTAGTCATTTTGCTAGTCTTAAATTGTTATCCACCCATACAGGGTCATCGACTGTAATAGATTCGTTGAACAGGCTCGTTGTCTATCCCATGTGTGGCATGGATACCACGAAGCACATGATGACACATGGGCGTTGTTAGCGGCTCTACAACACGTAAACCGTGCGGAGAAGGCAGATGATGATTTTCATGATGTAAGTGCGTCATCATTATATCACATATTTGAAAAGTGCTTTCAACATTACTGATCTTTTTTGTATACACTAGTGAATGTAACATTTTATTTTAATATCATTAAAACAGCGTATAATCAGTTTGTTTTTTGTTCTGTTTGTCAGTTGATGGAAGGATACTGCATAATGATGGAATCCTGTCATGCCCTGCTTTGGTTCCGTCGGGCCTTAGTCTACGAAGAGTTGGCTTTGAACAGGTACGTCACATGTCAAGTGTCAACCCAAACACGTATTAGGTTAAAAAAGTCAATCGAGACACATTCAAGCGACGTTGTATTGGATCGTGAAAGAGTGTAGCTATGTATATATTCCTGACTATTCTTACATGGACATATTGTTATTGTTATATATTGTTAAAGAAATACTTGTTACTGAGCTCTGTTTTTTTTCTTTTAATAGAAGTCTTGAAATTGGCAAGCTTTCAACTGATCTCTCCACATTAGGTCATCTGTATTCTGTAGTAATGTCACTGCGTTTAGCTGATGGACGCATACAGAAAGCGGTGGAAGCAGGTAAAGTCGGTGTAGTTTAATTCGGCAAATACTATTCGACGGAATCCGGAATTCCGACAGGAATTAGGTACAGAATACTTGGCAAAAATGCGATGTTGTCAACTGGAGCGCCCCAACGATCCTTCTGATATGATACCTTACAGTTTGATACTTACTATATAATTATTATTACCTGCACTAATGTGAAGTAGTGTTCAGTGATGTATGTAACTACGGTGAAACTAGTGAACGCTACCCCCAGCAAAACGCCAGAGAAGCTAATGAACCCTATTTTAAAATAAGCACAACTCTCCTATATTTTAGTCAATTCAATGAAAAAAATATTAAGCAATTATTATTATATATATTGAAATATAAGTGGTCTTTTCGGTCTAAGTCGTTAGTATTTAATTTAGCTTTAACTAGTTTTCGCAAGCGAGTTTTGTTTTCGATATTTTATGCTGAACACTGTTCACAAATGGATGAATTATAAATATGCAAGACATATAAAGGCCAGCCAGTACGTGTATGTTCATACACTGATGTATTCCATCGATCGTGTATGTGAAAAAATAGATTCAACATGTTTTAGCATTCTAAACATTGAACTATAGCGATCAATGAAATAGAGAAATAATTAAAAATGATATAATGATCGCTATAGTTCAATGTTTAGAATGTTAAAACATGTTGCATCTATTTTTTTCCATATGCTTCGGTTATACTTGATGGCAGAATAAACAGTCAAATGTGAATGCAAAAACACGGTATGGTTTATTGCTGGATAAACTGGCATAGAAACATGTAACACATGTAACAAGGAGCCCCGAAACTCCGAAACTAGCCCTTTATATAGGTGCGTATTGAAAGTGAGAAAAAACACGTACTCTGGAAATACAAATGTAAGTACGCGGGAGAAAAAGATACAATACAGAGTAAAATGATTGGCTGAAATTAAATGATTTTAATTGGTCGAGAATTACTCAAGTTCAGGAGAACACAAATTGAACTTGTAACTTCTGATCTAGTGTGATTTTCACTAAAGTTCAGATTAAATCTTTGAGTCTGACGTTGGCGGCATCTGTGGCGTCATGATGTGATCTGCGTTGTGGCAATGGTATAACATCTGTATTTCCACTGGATTTCATCATGCATATTAGTGATACCATCTGTGGCAGTGGGTTGCGTTGTGTCATTGCTGGATGATGTCAATTCCTTTGATACAATTTCCAGCGGGAACAATTTATGAATAGGGCGGGACATATGACCATTGGAAGTTTTCACCTCAGCTGATCAAGTCCATCTTTGCCGTAAACTAGACTGTTTACTATAGCAAGTTGCCACTTTAATCGGCGATTAATGTCGTTGTGTATTATGACAACATCACTTTAATACTATAATAGTATTGTTCTCTGTACCGGTAGGAGGGTGATGTTCGCATAGTGCGGTGAGATATTCTGTCTGCCATCGACGCCAGAATTGTATGTGCAGACAAACTAAATGTTCATATCGTTTGTTGACTTTCGCACGACTGTCATAATCGGGGTCATAGAGTTCATCGTCGGTAATGTTTATGTACGGTAACTGTGTCAATGACCGGCCGTTGAGCAGATGAGACGGTGTCATACTGACGTTGTCTTCGATGCTGGAAGACACGTATGTTAATGGACGATCATTAACAGTACTATGGTAGAAAGTTCGTCAAAGGTGATTAGCGCACGGCCCAATACCTTTTTGATGGCGTTCTTGGTTATGCCGATTAACCTTTCCCAGAATCCTCCGAACCATGGAGCTCGTTTCGGGATGAACGTTCACTCGACGCGATGCGAAGCGAGATATTCAACTTCTGAGGTATCAAGTAGGTTGCGTATTTCTTCCGCGCGATATATAAGTGGACGCGTCTTGCAGCGAAGCGCAGGAAAGTGTGTGGAAGTATCTTTGTTGACAGGTCGGGTATAACTTCCAAATGGACGGCGCGTGTCACTGCACAAGTGAATAAGCAAACGTAGGCTTTATTTCTTTTTCCATAAGGTGTTTTGGTTATGAGACTACCAGTGAAGTCAACTCCACACACGGCAAATGGGGGCATCATATTTACGCGATATGATGGTAACGGTGCTTGAACGGGGTTGGAAAACGGTTTTCCATCGACCTTGCGACACGTCACACAACTGCTCAGTATACTCTGTACAACCTGGCGTATTTTGGGTATCCAGTGTTGTTGCCGAATCTGGGTCACTGTAGACTGGACACTAGAATGTTTATTTAGTTCGTGTGCTTTCATCACAATTAGTTGTGTATATGCATGGTATGACGGTAACAGAATCGGGTATTTCGTCACATAGTCAAGCGGTGCGTTGTGGATACGACTTCCAAAGTGAAGTCCTTCTCATCCAGAAATGAAATCAATTGACGAACGAGCGGTCCGAACTTGCGTCGTTGTTCGTGTAACGCCTGGATAGTATCCCCGTAATGTTCAGATTGGACATTTCTTGTCCACAGAAGTTCTGCGTTCTTGAGTTCTGTTGATGTGATTATATCATTGTTATTGCCTGAGTTTAGCTGGCGAGTGATTTGTTTTATACGGTTAACAAATCCCAGTACGTAGACACTGTCACACGTAACAGTTTATCGAGTGAATTATACCTGGAAATGTCAATAATACGTTGATTGCCGGAGTTGTCACTTTCATCAGTCGCTTGACGATCGGTTTGTGCGTTGATGACTGGCGAAGTAGTATCCAGGTTGACGAGGTCGTCATCTTCCTCCGTGATGTTGACATGTAGTTGAGTAGCATTGTTCATATCCCATATTGGCCACATTTGTTGATCTGGTAACCATGACGGCCCATAATTCCATTTGGTGTTTGAACAGAGGTCATTAGCTGATATAACTCTTGTTGTAAGTCCGCGGGGTTGTCCACGGTTGGACAGTATTTATATTCTTGTGTGAAGTCGCGTATTTCTTGCACTCTATTTTGAACAAATACTGGCAACTTCTTACTGCTATTAATCCAATGCAAGGTCGCTTGACTGTCGGACCACAGGAAATGTTCAGTTATATTGAATTTGTCCGATAGAGCATTCAGTACGAGTTTACAGAGTCTCGTAGCGATCAGTGCAGCCATTAACCCCAATTTCGGCAGAGATAATTTCGATTTAGGGGCGACTCGTGTCTTTGACATGACAAGAGCCGTTTCGTGCTGGCGACGGAGAAACACAACAGCACCATAAGCGGAAGTGCTCGCGTCTGCGAAAGTGTGCATTTGATGCCTATCATCTGGTGAAGTCTTGTCAAAATGATTCCGGTTGATTTGATTATCACGAGCAGTGGTTAAATCCTCAGCAATTAAGGTTCATTGTTCGTAAAGTTTGGGACTTAGTGGTTCATCCCACTCCAATTTCAACTTCCACAAAAGTTGAATAAATAGCTTGGCGTGTACCAATACCGGTGAAATTAATCCAAGCGGGACGTATACACTCGCTGTAAAACTTACAATGTCACATTTTGTAATAAACGACTTGAGGTTGACTGTTAACACGAGAATGTGTCAACACGTCAGGTGTAATTTTCCAACGCATACTAAGCACAGAAACTTCATCGGCGGGCTCATTTGTTATCTCGTGTAGCAAGTTCACACAAATCAGGAGAATTCGATGACCAAGCACGTAAATTAAATCCACACAAATTCATGAGGCTCGTAGATTCACTGTAGTATTTAACAGCATCTGCTTCCGAATAGACCCCATCAATGAAATTATCGACATAGATGTTGTCTTTCATTTGATTTGCAGTATTAATATCACAGTTATTATCCAAATGAGTTTTGATCACAGCATTCAGGATAAAAGGTGGGCACATAGCACCAAACAGATTTAAATTGATACACTTTGAGTGGACTGTCAATATTGTTCACGTCTGTCAGCCACAGAAATTTGGTGAATTTCCGTTCATTAGGATGCAGTCTCACGTTAAGGAATGCTTTCTCAATATCACTACAGACCGCAATATTGTTAGCACGGAATCTCATTAAGATGGCTGGCAAATCATTAATCATAGAAGGTTCGGTTCGGAGACAATCATTCAAACTCGGGGAATTAGCGTTTCGGCGGCATGAACGATTAATCGTACACAATGCGAATCGGGGTTGTAGTAGAGTCCTTTGCTACCGAGCGATGTGGTAGATAATGTCCGATAGTATTGTCATCATTGTAGACTTCTTCGATGAAGTCGCGGTTGAGTTGATGCTCAATGATAGAGTTGTATGCGTCGAGTACATTATAACTACGCCGACGATATACTACTCGGTACTTACACCACAATTTTGGGGTACGTTTATCTGTTAATCCCCACCATCTTTATCAAGTTACGTAACTTCTGTCCACCCCAGCGTCTTCTGGATGGTTTAAGTTACCAATGAAATATATTTCGAGATTGTTTCATTATTTTTGCAAGCAATTCAAATATTACAAGGTTTAATCATGAACGAAATACTTTCCAATCTTTTGATTTGACATAATTGGTCGGCACGGAAAAACAGAAACAGGGATATATTCTTGTTCTTGCTTACACATAGCATGGTTTATAGTTCCATGCACCACGATTAGTAACCGTGCATGCACATAGTAACGTGTCACGGCATCGGGATGTCAGTGAGTGGTTAGAACATAAATAACGCATTACTATACAACTTGACACACAAGTTTCATTCGGAAACAACGCTGTTTTTATTTCAATAAAATGTTTAGTATCTGATATTGCTATTAATCCGATATTAGTGGTGGTTTGAAATTGCACATAACAGGCATCGCACAAACCTCCTAACATTTTTCACACACTTCTGTAACACGCTTTTAGTTACTGACAGGGTTATTTTTCTGTTTGGAAGATTAATGTACACACAAAATAAGAGTCGTAAAATACATGTATAAATTAGGGAAATGCACGAATGAGGCATGACATCGTATGAGCTGCTCTGGACATGATTATAGATCGTTATACCACACAGGAAGCTGTAATGGCAATGTCCAAACATCGTCTATGCATCACCGTACTGCTATCGCACTTTTTTTTCGGCGGTGACGATCTGCGGCATTGTGTTGTTTCGCAGTGTATATCACTCATGGTATGAAACTTGGGCCATTAGATCATATCATTAATAAATTTAAATAAATTAGTTGTCCGAATTATTAGTAACATGGTAGTATTGTATCTATAACCATAGAATCGAGCCCGTCTATGCTAAAACCATCAAAACAGTATTACACCATACCATGTCATTTCCGTACCTTCAGGCAACCCAAGTCCCTAGCATGAAGGTTTCACCACAATGGTATATGCGATCCCGTCCACGGATTGGCAGAATTTTGTAACGCAAATAATGAACGAAATTACAGCGATTTGTACCAATCCTGGATCGTTTTTGACTCCCATGTGCGAAGCACATAATGGGAGTCTTTGCAGTTAGTGTGACTGTGTGTGTGTGTGTGTGTATGTGTGTATGTGTGTATGTGTGTCCGACTGTTCCACTTCTATCTCAAGAACCATACATCGGTTTTTGATGAAACTTGGTGCATAGATGCTCTGGGCCAATGCGCAGATTTGATTAGGTTTTGGTAAAAATCCATGCTCGTTAATTACCTAATTTGCATGATAATTAGCTGATTTTTAGCTGTTCTATGACTTCCACTGATATCTAAAGAACCACTCATTGGATTTTGATGAAACTTGGTACATAGATGCTCTGAACATATGCGCAGATTTGATTAGTTTTTGGTAACAATCCGTGCATATTAATTACCTAATTTGCATGATAATTAGCTGATTTTTAGCTGTTCTATGATTGTTCCACTGATATCTAAACAACCACTCATTGGATTTTGATGAAACTTTGTACATACATGCTCTGAACTAATGCTAGGTTTTGATTAGTTTTTGGTAATAATCCGTGGATACTAATTACCTAATTTGCATAATGATTAGTCAATTTTCGTTTTTTCCACTGATATCTCAAGTACTAATCATCACATTTCAATGAAACTTGGTACATAGATGTCATATGACACTGTACAGACCTGATAGTTTTTATGGTATATCAGTACATATTAATTACCTAATTT